GGGAAAAGGAAAGGAAAAAGGGAAGGGGAAAAGGAAAGGAAAAGGAAAGGAGAAAGGGAAAGAGAAAGGGAAGGGAAGAGAAAATAAAAAGGGAAAGAAAAAGAAGGGAAAGAAAAAAGTAAAGGAGAAAGGAAAAAGGAAAGGGGAAGGGAATGAGAAAGGGAAAGGAAAAGGAAGGGGAAAGGGAAAGGGAAAAGGGAAATTAAAGGGAAAAGGAAGGGGAAAGGGAAAGCAAAAATGAAAGGGAAAGGGAAAGAAAAGGGAAAGGAAAAATGAAAGGGAAAGGAAAAGGGAATTAGGATATCAAGGTTCAGAGGGGCTGAAGGCACCCCAATCCCATCCCCCAGCACGGTGCAGAACGTAGGGGCAGCACCTCACCGTCTGCTCCCTCCCCTTTTCCCCAAATTCCCCGTTTTTCCCCCATGCAGGGGAGCAGTTTTTCGACATCGACAGCGGCCGCAACGCCCCGCTGCACTCGCCGCCCACCGAGCACTACACCATCGTCTTCAACACCTTCGTGATGATGCAGCTCTTCAACGAGATCAACGCCCGCAAGATCCACGGCGAGAGGAACGTCTTCGAGGGCATCTACCGCAACCCCATCTTCTGCACCGTGGTGCTGGGCACCTTCGCCGCCCAGGTGACGCCGCGGGGCTGGCGGGGGACACGGTGCTGTCACCTCGGTGGCACCGGAGCCACCCTGGAAGGTCCCGAGGGTGGCACCAGAGCAAGGCTGGGATGGTGGGAGCTGTCCCTGCCCGTGGGTCTGGGTGGGATTTAATCCCTCCTGGCTTAAACTGCCCTGAGGTGCCGTGATTTGGGGTCTGGAGTGTGATGGGAGGTGCTTCTGGTGGTCCGAGTGGTTCCCAGACATGATGGGAGGTCCTTGTTCCTAAAATCCCCAGCCTGGGTGTGAGGTTCTTGCTCCTCTCTGGTATTCCAGAAAAAAATTCCAGCCTGGATGTGAGGTCCTTTTTCATGAAATTCCCAGCCTGGAAGTGAGATTCCTGTTCCTTTCTGGTGTTCCACAAAATTGCCAGCTTAGATGTGAGGTCCTTGCTCCTCACTGGTGTTCCTAAAATTCCCAGTTTGGTTGTGAAGTCCCTGTTCTTTCTGGTGTTCCACAAAATTTCCCACTTCAGTGTGAGGTCCTTGCTCCTCTCTGGTGTTCCAGAAAAAATTTCCAGCCTGGATGGGAGGTTCTTGTTCCTAAAATTTCCTGCCTGGCTGTGAGGTCCTTGTTTCTCTTTGGTGTTCCACAAAATTCCCAACTTCAGTGGGAGGTTCTGGTTCCTCACTGGTGTTTCAGAAAAAGTTCCCAGCCTGGGTGTGAGGTCGCTGCTCTTTCTGGTGTTCCACAAAATTCCCAGCTTAGATGTGAGGTCTTTGCTCCTCTCTGATGTTCCAGAAAAAATTTCCAGACTAGATGTGAGGTCCCTGTTACTTCTGGTATTCCACAAAACTCCCAGCCTGTGGGTGTGAGTTCCTTGTTCTTTTCTGACGTTCCATAAAATTCCCAGCTTAGATGTGAGATTCTGGTTTTGTTCTGGTGTTCCACAAAATTCCCAGCYTGGATGTGAAATCTTGTTTCTAAAATCCCCAGCCTGGATTTGAGATTCTTGTTCCATTCTGGTTTTTTCCTAAAATTCCCAGCCAGGATATGAGGTTCTTGTTCCTGAAATTTCCAGCCAGGATGTGAGATTCCTGTTCTTTCTGGTGTCCCAYAAAATCCCCAGCTTAGATGTGAGGTCCTTGTTCCTCACTGGTGTTCCTAAAATTCCCAGCCTGGATGTGAAATCCTTATTCCTGAAATTTCCAGCCTGGAAGTGAGATTCCTGTTCCCTTCTKGTGTTCCATAAATTCCCAGTTTAGAAGTGAGATCCTTGCTCCTGTCAGATGCTCCACAAAATCCCCAGCCTGCATGTGAGATCTCTGTTTTCTCTGCTGTTCCATAAAATCCCCAGTTTAGATGTGAGGTCCCTGTTCTTTTCTTCTTTCCCACCCCAAAAGGGCGGTTTTTTGCCCCAGATTTCTGGGCAAATGTGCCCCTCTCTGGTGTCCCTTAAAGTTCCCAGTTTAGGTGTGAGGTCCCTGCTCCTTTGTGGTGTCCCATAAAGTTCCCAGTTTAGGTGTGAGGTCCCTGCCCCTCTGAGGATCCCAGGAGAGGGAGAAGCGTGGCCCAGGAGACATTTTGGTGGCCCCAGAGCTGCCCCGGTGTGACTGTCACCTTGTGTGCCACAGATCATCATCGTGGAGTTCGGGGGGAAGCCCTTCAGCTGCTCCGGGCTCACCCTGAGCCAGTGGTTCTGGTGCATCTTCATCGGCGTGGGAGAGCTCCTGTGGGGCCAGGTGAGCGTCCACCCCAAAATCCTCACCTCTGTCCCTTCCCTGATATTTCTACGAGGCTGCTTCGGAAGGGGTGAAGCCTCAGCCCCACCCTGCAGCAGGGGGACACACCTGGCGGTGACAGAGACACACCTGGCATGGCAGGGACATTCCCAGCGGTGACAGGGACACACCTGGCATAGCAGGGACACACCTGGGAGTGACAGAGACACACCTGGCATGGCAAGGACACACCCAGCAGTGACAGTGACACTCCCACCAGTGACAGTGACACTCCCACCAGTGACAGTGACACACCCAGCAGTGACAGTTCCATTCCCAGCAGTGACAGGGACATTCCCAGCTCTGATAGGGACATTCGAAACAGTGACAGGGACACACCCAGCAGTGACAATGACACGCCCAGCAGTGACAGTGACACACCCAGCAGTGACAGTGACACTCTCAGCACTGACAGTGACACTCTTAGCAGTGACAGTGACACACCTGGCAGTGACAGGGACACACCCAGCAGTGACAGGGACACACCTGGCATGGCAGGGACACACCTGGCGGTGACAGTGACACACCCAGCAGTGACAGGGATACACCTGACATGGCAGGGACACACCCAGCAGCGACAGTGACACTCCCACCAGTGACAGTGACACGCCCAGCAGTGACAGGGACATTCCCAGCTCTGATAGGGACATTCGAAGCAGTGACAGGGACACACCCAGCAGTGACAATGACATGCCCACCAGTGACAATGGCACTCCCAGTAGTGACAGGGATACACCCAGCACTGACAGTGACATGCCCAGCAGTGACAGGGACACGCCCAGCAGTGATAGTGACACACCTGGCAGTGATGGGCACACCCAGAACAGACAGGGACACACCTGGCGGTGACAGGGACACACCCAGCAGTGACAGGGACACAACTGGCAGTGACAGTGACACACGCAGCTCTGATAGGGACATTTCCAGCAGTGACATTCCCACCCAGCACTGACAGGGACACACCTGGCAGTGACAGTGACACTCCCAGCAGTGACAGTGACACGCCCAGCAGTGACAGTGACACTCCCAGCAGTGACAGGAACACACCCGCTAGTGACAGGGACACACCTGGCAGTGACAGGGCCATTTGTAGCAGTGACAGTGACATTCCCAGCTCTGATAGGGACATTCCCAGAAGTGACA